TCAAGCCAAGAATGCAAAATCAAGGTCAGCATGATCTGATGACGCATCCCGCGCTTCTTAAAACGTACACCTAAGATACGCCACATTTGCGAGGTTTTCCAGCGTTGATCAGTCATCAATCTCTCTCTTTTCTGGCAGAACCTTCAGAGACAGGGGGGTCACCAACTAGTGCCGGGATCGACAATAGGTCCAACTGCTTAATTGAGACCCAATGAGATCCTGAAGTACCCCTTTAACAATTTCCGCATTATGTAGCCCCCCCCCAAGGGTGCCATATCTGAATTCGAAGTTGGATGATGTCAAGCTTGTCGATTGAATGCCGCTTCTCGGCCACACCTAGGCTCGGTAGCCATTAAAGACACGTGCGTTTCGACTGTCACGTCGATACCACTGAGATAGATAGGCGCATCGGTGTCACCCAAATTGTTTCTAGCACTCTCGCTAGGTAAGGTTGCGTACGGGGCACTACGCCCTTCGGCCGCAAGACAACCAAATCGTGTTACAGTCGCATGTTAATAAGAGGGCGGCGCATTGAGGCTGCCGGAGATTAGGAGGCCCGGGGTGCCCGGGCTGAGGGCTGAAAAGGAAACCCTTCACCAGCTGCAACCTAACTACATACATACACTACTCGCCTCCCTGGAAATTTACCTTATCAAAATGACCAAAAATATTGGGCTCCCATTAATCCCCGGGAGTACAAGTTGCGACCCGCAAGGATCTAGCTCTAAGCGGAAAGGCCCAAGTCAAAGCCTTATCTTCGACTTGTCATCCAATGAGAAATTACAATTGCTTTTACTGATTTATCATTCCTCCACCAAATCGTGGCTTGGCGTCCGATCTGAACGTACATACGTACCGCTCGTACGAATGAGGATAGGTACCTGTACCCATGTACTACTGAAGACAGCACCAACATTCATTGACATACATGTATGCACGGATGTTTATGTTTAGAAAAACTAGTCAGCTTTTCCAAGGCCAGAAGCATTTCAAATGTGTTCTTCTAAGACATGTACTTGCGTCATTGATGTGTTTAAGTCTATCTGGTCCTTGTTCTTGACGCTCTGAGCATCGGTAGCCATTGTATGGTATCTAGTGATACAGTGGATAGGGCTTAGCTCGTGAGCCATTCCGCCTTTCCAGTACGTAAAACTGGTTGTTCAAGGAAAGGAAGGGTGTTGAGGTACAGTATGACCCCAACTTCATGTGCCTGACATTATCATCCTTGTCCGGAGACTTTCTAGAAAACGACCACCCCTGCCCAGCTGGTCTGGTTCCCCCCACGGTCCAGCCGCATTGGCACATAGTAGTATGTATCTGGGCTGGGGAACAGCTGATGAGGTTTCACTTTCGTTCGTGCCATTCTTTTCCTAGTCGTTTTAAAGTTTTATCAATCCCTCATATAACGCCTTACCTGGACGGGCAAGTAGATGATTGGAGAGCCTTGACCACCATTCACCGTCCTTATGCAACCTAAACGCCTCCCTCTTGGCCAAGCAGCCTCAATCCGTAAACAGCCCACGAAACCCTGGGTATCATGATAACACATTTTAGAGAAAGAAGGAAAATGGTACCTTCAAACAACCGAGATGGGGTCTGTTCTTGAGTTCCGGAATACTTCGTAGCTGAGAATCCGAAGATCGTAGTAATGAAGCATGATACGATATCGCTTTGGACTGACAGGCTTGTCCGTCAGTTCTACGTTTCCGGAAAATGGTGCCGGCCCGACAGCCACACCGAGTAGAGGACAAATAGGCCGTTTCTGGTTATCCTCGTCCCGTTTGGTGGGTAGGATGGCTTCAACCTTGAAAGCCCGTTTGAAAAGGAGACCCTTTTCCTCTGGGCGTGTTAATGTGATAAGCGCTACCCTTCCGCACATCGAGCCGGCTACGACTAATGATAATTCTGGCACGTGTATAAGATTCGCCAGGCGTTCATGTGATATTCTCATTGACGGGAGCACTGCGTGTGAGGGGCGAGATTGGTCGATGACTTTCTCAAACATGATGCCCATGCCGCCTTCCTCGAAGCTGCGAAGTTCCACGTCCATCTCATACGTACGCAATATACTGCTGCCATCTTCCAATACGGTCTCATGTTCGAAAGGCCCAGCATTGGGTCGTCCCGATCGAGAGTCACGCCCGGCTTGCGAGCTGTCTCCGAACGGGTCATGAAATGAATGAAGCTTCGCGTTTGCATCGAAGTCGTACCATGGGCTCTCTAGTTGGGCCCTCCTGGGTTCCATAGGATTGAATGCAAACCGTTGGGTATTGCCCGACCTTACCCACGGATGCACTCCTGAGTTGTTTTTTACGTGCTTGATGCCTTGGCTAATATCAATCCAACGTCCGATCCTTTCATTAGCCGCAGGCCTTACTTCCTCCAGCGGCAGGCCAAGGGCATTCTCCTTGTCCTTCATTGGGAGGAAACTGCTCTCGGGCAGCACGAGTACACCCCAACCCCTAGGTCTAGTTTTCGTTAGTGTCTTCATAGCAGTATATCAAAAAGAAATCGAACTCACTTGTGAAAGTGGGTAGGATGTCCCTGGAATCTAGCACGGGAGCGGCTGCGGTGAAGACCTTCAATCTTGATATGGGGTCGCTGGTCGAAGTGCCAAATGTCCATTATCCAGAGCCTTCCATTAATATCTACTGCTACAACCTTGGCTGCCTCTCCGTATTGGTCACTGCTGAACGCAATATTGGGAAGGTTAGTCCCTGTACGCCCGGTTTCGAGAATAATGCGCCAGTTAGCATCCCTTCGGCGGATTGCATTTTCCAGAGCAGCAATTTTTGATGCATCGGTTGTAGCATGGTTAAGCACTATTGGCGGTTGAGATGGGTCCCTTCCTGGGTCTAAAATGTTGCCATTCTCATCTTTGACGATATTTCGGAAGAATTCCACAGGATCAGCTTCCAGTGTGTGTCGATACGGTTGGCCCGTCAGCGCAAAGACAAAGACGCACACATTATGTGTGTTAGAACTAACAGCAACAATACGGGATTGTTTGTGAATCGCCAACCCCCAGGCACTTTTACCAACGTTTTCGTGGAAGAAAGGCTCAGGAACGATCTTATTGTTTCGACCATCCCTCTCACGACGCCTGAGCTCGTTCTCGATATGGCGCGTATAGTAGCCTATGACGTCACCGTCGTCGTACGCAAGTAATAGAATCTCCTCGACTCCGAGCTCGCCCACAACTAGGTGGTTGACCTGGTGCGGAAAATTGGCGTCCAAATATCCCACAACCGAAAGACTCATAGAACTAGCTGGGGGCCGCAAGATAAGATCGGGTTCGACAGGCAGCACGTTGCTAACACAGCTGCGGGGCCGAGATACATAGATCTTGTCCGCGTACGCCACCATATAAAGATTATACGCCTGCGATAGTGCTGTAAGGTTCATCCTCCACGTCGCGACCCGCGGCGGGCCCTCCTCTTCCAGAGAGCCATCCGACCCCGGGTCAGGAAACTCATCACCAATGTCAATGTCAAAGTCTTCGTCGTTCTCGAGGTTATTGAAGACCCCAGCGGGCACGGCTCCATCTGCGGTCAGCAAATCGACTATCAAAGGACCATTGTCAAGCATTTCGACGTCGGGTGCGGGGTGCTCGTCTTCGAGGACGTTGAGCTCGTCATCTTGGTCGGCTCCATCAGAAACGGTGCTATCGTCGTCGGCGGCTTCGTCTTCCGAATCGTGATCCTGATTAGGGATGTTGAAGGACTGCGTAGTCTCAAAGGGGATATGTACCGATCTTGGAATGCGGTGCTACCAGAACGACGATGTCAGCAGGTTTGCCTCAAGAGGGTTTAGTAATTCAAAGCTGCACAAGGTGCTTACCCTCTTGCGACCAGTCTCACAATGACACTTGCTCACTTGGAGCTCCCCCTCAGAACCGACATCCCTCGCCATGTCATCACAGGTGGTCGGGTATTAGCAATATGACTAGTACTGTTAGGGTTTGGCAGAAGAATAGAATAAAGTAAGGAAGACAGCTATCGTTTGAAGACTATTGAAGTCATTACAACACATGTCTGATGCACGACGGTGGGGACGGACCTGAAGTTTGATAACGATAGGTGAAGCTTGAGAAGCTCCCTGCAGCCTCAAGGGACCACCACTACCGAGACAAACCCCGCCAATTACATAGCCTTGTCGAGTAGCGCCCTGATTAGGTGTGTTTGCGCCTTCCGCCGCACAATCATTAATGTCTTGCGAATAATAAGTTCCTCAATGAAGCGGCAAAATCAGCCGACCTTATGTAAGATATGTCAGATGTATGCGTAGCGTCGAAACGACAGTGCCAAAACGGTAGACCCACTTTGTGGAGGGAACTATATTTAAATCCTTATGTAATCGAAGGATCCGCCAATCACGGTCCACAACATGTACTTACTTCGATGCAGGTACGTGTTTATGTAACTAGACGGTTTGAATACAAGCTTCTATCTTTAACCAGAGAGCGCTTCGATATATCTTCGAGAGAGGACTCGCATGCTAGGTAGTTGCTTATAGATCATCAATATGAGTTTTTGCTAGTTTCTAGTGCCATGCTCGTGTAATATTTGTAGTAATACCTCTCTGTATTCAGTTCTAAGTGTGTCCTGGCCTAGGGGAGAGGTAATCTCGTCGCATAAGACCATCCATCTACCTTTCTATACCCATGTTTGCGCCTTCTACGCATCATTCATGCTTATAAGGTGCGTATACAATTGTTACTTTAAACCTTAAAGAATAGACCCAAGATATCGAAAGGGATAGCGTTTATAAAGATTGAGCAGGTTCCGCCTTAGACTTAAAGCGAAATTACGCCGCGCACATGGACGGGTTCTGGTTCATTACCTCGGGAATTTCCCTATCGCCTTAGGTGGTAGATGCCTCAATCACCTGAGAGGTATGCCAATGCACAGTGCACGGCCTCAATTGGAAAGCCGTACTGGTCATGAAGGAAGACACATAGCTCCAAACAGTGTGGTTTCTTCAACATCGTATGAAAGAAAGGCCCGGTGGTGAAGTGGCTAGCACATCTCATCCCAAGTGCATAACTATCCTACTTGGGCGCGCCTTCACTTGCCGATACCACCGATATTGAAGGTGATGACAATGTGAAATGAGAAGGTCGTAGGTTCGATTCCTACCCGGGCTCCTTTTTTTTTTAAAAAAAAAAAAGTCTCCCTTCACCCTCCCCAAACCTGCTTTCTGCGCCTTGAGTATCCATATTATATGTGTCTACATATAATCAAGATGTTGGCAATGTGCCATATGTTAACTTGATAAGGATGTGAGAAACCCCGTTCAATGTGCCATCTACCTGTTACGACGCACTGTGGTTATATAGGTAGAGAAGAGAAAGATTGAATGAAGTTCAGTAAGAACCCAAACGGACCATGGACAACTACAACTCCTTGTACATCCATTGAGACTGGCCGAGCATATAGTAAGAACCGCCATGTCTGGCTTGGATCAGAGTTGGCGACGTGGGCACTTCCCTCAATGTGCCGATGCGGAAGAGAATTTTGACGTTATCGCTCCCAGACGACGGATCTACTCTATAAGCAGTTCAAGATGACATGGCGATTGGCATACGTAAATACCTAGTGTTATCTTGCACTCAAATGTTTAGGGCGTTTCCATCTCATCTTAATATGATCTTAAGAGGAGGCAGTCTTCGTAAGGTTTCTTCCCCTTAACGCGGGTTGTCCCAGTTTGATGAAGAGAGAGAGCAAGGACGCTAGGTTAAAAACTTAGTTGATCGAGCTCACAGCACCTGGGTGAGAGGTTAGCATATCCAATATTACTACTTACATACCAGGAATGTAGGGTACTTACTATCATATCGCTCGCAACCACCGGTTCCCCCTATCCGCGAGTAAATTATGTTCGCTGTTTGCTCGCCAACTTAAGCAATACTCCGTAAGGTCGCAGTGGGGCTACCGGTTAAGGGGTGTCTGGGGAGGCGTTAAGAACAAGAGCAGCTTCCGCGTTTGGCTGCTGGACGAGACTGCAAACTAAGTTGTTGTCTAACGAGTCCCACGAGGCTTGTTCATCCTCGCTCTCCAGATGAGCGGAGTAGGTACCTATGACAAAGTGGTATCTGGCCCCAGTATTTACCGGACAGCAACCTTGTATGATATTCGGATAATCACGATGGCGATCTATGGTTGCTTGTCTGTGTGCGCGTAGTTCCATTGTAGACCCTACTCCTTACATGTGTCGTCTAGAAGACAGTGACAAGGGGGGAGAACGGGGCCACGGAAAGGTGTCTAAGACCTGCTTGATAATGATATTAGGGTATGTTCTATAATTTATAACTACCCGTTTAGGAGGTCAATCGGGAGAGGCAAGAAGTTCATTGCGGAGAGGCGTTGGTCGTGATCGCTCTGTCATTATGGCAAAGGCAAGGCTGTACCAGTTTATTTGCGTGGTTTGACACCAGTACGCTTGAAGATATAAGAGTTTGCCTCTCTAATTACTCTGAAACTACCAAGTCGTGCTGAATCTTTTCAGAGCTTGGACGCCGGCGTAGAAGGCTGGCATTAAGAGATGATAGTTATGATCACGGGCCCTAATCGCTACCGTGAAGCTTTCGAAGAGTGAACGAGGTGCCAAGAGTAAGTTGAATACAATTTGACACGGATAGGGGGTAAACTACACTTGAAAGTCACGAGAAAGCCATGGCAAGGACAGTGGTCGGCTTATCACACCCCATGGTTCCTTCGAATGCTTTTCAGCTACACCCAAATAACTCGCACTTTGTACCACAGCATCTCGAGAGTTGCAACGTCATAATCTCCTCATTGCCTGTGTGTATGCCCATATCTTGGAAAGCAAAGGAGCCACTCCGGGATGCCGACGTGGTAATATTAATCAAGGATTGAAGTACAGAGCGAGCACCTACATGTATTCAGAAACTTAGCTTCTCACTTGGTACTTGCCTCTTACCCTGTGTCTTGCCCACATAACATCCAATTGAGATACCTAGTATACACCATGTTCAGGGGAAGGTCGTGCACTCCCATATAGCTAAATCGGCTTGTCAAGACGTGTGCCTACATGTCGGTCCTCTCCTTAGAATCGGAAATCTAGCTTCGCTCATGTTTACTTGGACACCCCGTGACCGGTAGACCGCGATGTCGCCACGGTGTTGCGATCTTGCGATCTTGTGACCTTCCGCCTTCCTATAGTTGCGGATCATAATAAGGGCCTAGACGCGGCTTCGTACGCCCGTACATGTAGAATCGGCCCATCAGGGACTGGCAGGCCGTGAGCCCACTTGTTCGAGAACGTAAGCTGCACATAGGCATTGACCATGCGGCTCACGGCCACTCCGTAGCTTCCGGTGCCCAAGTAAGCACACCATAGTGCTTATCTTTGAGCCGATGGCCCGGTGTTGTGACACTGTATCCGCCTTAAGAATGGGCGTCGTCCAGTCTAGATGCGACTGTAGCACTGGTTGAGGCACGTCAGATCTTGCGGCTGCAATCTAGCCAAGCTCCAGGTAGATGTCGCCGAATTACTATAAAGCTTCGTTTAAATCCCTCATTCATGCCATGCCAAGTTCTCACATATCCCTAGATATAGGACTTGGCTCTAGCTGTTTCCTCGAGAAGCATGTCAATGTGATCCACACTACGCATAACGTTCAGAGTCACGAAAATACGTCGCGCGTGCTTGGAAGCTGACCTATTCGACAGACGCAGACCAAGATGGCCGTTGGGCGGAGAGCCATTGAACGAGCTTCGAAACAGGCTCCATCTCCCTGACACCGGTCTTCGTCACCAGGATTTGGCTGCAAGATTCGTATAAGAGCTATCTCTTAGCAATATACAAGCTGGACTCGACCTGAAACTTGTTTCAAGTCGCTATGACCTAGTTTCGAATACAGCTCGGTGAGTTTTGGAGGTATGTATGATTGGGTGAACCGTGAGGGATATGTACATCTCCGGGGTTGCCTTATGCTAATCCAAGCATAGATTAACAATCTACCTAGGCTGAACCATGTTGAACTTACCATGGTAAGATTATGTCTGCTTGGTATACTATCTCGAAGAGTTCAGTCTATCTTCTTGGAACCGAAGCTTCAGAGAGCAGAAGCCATTAGAGTGCCTAAACGTGGAGGGGGAGAGTTGATGGGGATGCGCCACAAAGGACGGCTGATGATTAGGTGATCGTGCATATTCGAAGCAGTCCGATGCGGGCTCGGTGATATGGCGCCTAGTCCTATTGGAAGATGGCTACCTCCGTTAAGGGAGCCGGGACAGAAGCCCGGAATAATAACAGGAGAATGAGACGAACATTGAAGAATCGACCAGTGGGTTGGGCCTCAGAGACACGGAGAAAGGAAGTACGTACAATGAATGTACTTACTTTCCTCACGTAACGACCTGGAACGTCCTACCTTCCCTACATAACAGACAGGCCATTTACACCGGTCTCTTGGCCTGCTTGGTCTATCTGGAAGCTCCGTTCATCGATACGGAGGATGGCACCTGCCTGGGATGTATACAAGGAACTACCTCCTATTATAGGTATGTGGCTTCCAGCTGAACCCCTTGTTTTACCCGAAGGCATTAGCCGAAGAGGTTACCTAACAGGTACATGCTACTCACGTAAGGACCAGTCGACCCTAGTCCGGTAGACTAGTAAGTGCTTGAAGCCAAGTGCTCCTTCCTTAGGCCGTCTTGTCTTGGATTGAGTTGGGCAGCTAGGACCGGTGACCAATCTTACATACCCGGGCACAGCTGGGCGTACCTGGGCAAACCTGGGCAAGACCTGAGTATACCTGGGTACCTTACCTTAGGGCAGTGGCCTGCTGCGTAGTAGCTGATCCTCCATGTCCGACATCCACCTCATACAACTTCTTCAGCGAATGTCGAGCATTGGCTGACTTCATTCGTCACCAACGAAACAACGCCGAACAGCGTTTTCCTCGAGATGGGTCTGTCCTGTGTCAACCCGCAACGAGTCACGCGACGAAAACGGCCGAAGAGCGGTCTCATTAGTCACCTTTTTCTTCTCAAGCGCGCCTCTCGCGTCTCGCAGTCCGATGGCATTTCGTCCTTCAAGATCGACGATACCCAGAATCCGTACCTTATGGGCTCGGATCCTCATCGGGAAACCCGACAGTAATATAGCGCACAGTTCACAGGTTCGTACCCGTGTCACACCGCTTTCAACCCTGTCGAGGGCCGCTAAGAGCACTGGAACTTTGAACACAGGCACCACCTTCATCGAGATCACCCACTCTTGGAGCTAGGAGATGATTTTTTATTTTTACTTATTTAATTATTTCTTTTTTTTTTTTAAAAAAAAAAAAAATCTTTACTTCTGCTTCGGATATAGACCTCGTCGCCATGGCTGGATTCTCTTGGCCACCCGTGTTGTAACAGGGTAACCGGCACGATTCCATACAGTTCCCTTATCGTGTGTTTTTCGTTGGCATTGCGTCGTGGGTCCCGACGACAAGGCCATGATCATTGGCTCATCCATGGTTACGCGGGTGTGTATAGTAAGGCGTCAAGTCACCGTCGCCCTCGCCTAGGTATGCAGCAAGCAGATGGAGACTCTGCGTCCCGACAGGCTGCAGCGCGAGTGACAACCCGTGCATGGCAAAGAGCAGCACGCTCCTCTGCAACACCTCGCAGCCCGGTAGGCCGTCTCGCACTAGCGGCAACTATCACAGCGTCCGGTCCAATGCACGCCTTGCAGAAATACCCATACCCAGACCCATACTTTGGTCCTGACCCTGACCCCCGACCCCATATCACAGATCTCAAGGGCGGATGCAAGCGCATGCCTAGCAGATATGTTGGAGGCGTGCTTGGCTTGCTACTGGAACCAGGTATTTGCTAGCGGCACAGTACCCGCAAAGAGGCGTTTTTGGCGCTACCACAACAGGGTTAGCTGTGCTTATCCTCCTCTATATTGTAGCTATCCGAGAGCACGGCGTTCCCAAATATTGGGATACGGGTTCCATGGACCAAGCTAAACGGCACATCGTACGTCGGGAGATCTGGGAGATTAGCTGCCCACAGCACTGCAAAAGCGGAGATCCATGAGAGAGCGCTCCGAATCCGCGGTGATGAGCTTCTGATGCTCGAATTCAACGGAACAGCCCAGAATGGTTCCTCTACCACCAAAACCCCA